TGCTCGACGTGGTGCGCTCCTTCGAGGCACTCAAGAAGGCCTGCGGTGTCGACGCCGATCTGCAGGGCGTCGAGGTGTTCAACATCATCAAGACCAAGGTGGTCAACAAGAACGCCGAGACCTTCTGGAAGCTGCTCGAGCTCCGCATGGCTCAGGCAACCCCACCCACCTTTTAAACCACATTTTCTCTTATTTTATTCTTTATTATTTTATAAAATAAGGATTTATTTAATCTTCATTTCTGATGTGTGACGGTTGGGGCGTGTGTGCACAGGTGGAGTACCAGACCGGGTTCAAGGCCAGCCCGCCGCGTGCGGTCATCGTGGGCAGCGGACCCGGTGGTCTGCGCACGGCCATCGAATTCGCGTTCCTGGGCGTGCGCGCCACCGTGCTCGAGAAGCGATTGGACTACTCCCGAAACAACCTTTTGCACATATGGTACGTCAAGTCCTCCTCCTTCGTGCAATCTTCATGTCACCTCACCCTCTCTTTGCTTTCTCAGGCATTCCTCCATTCGCGACCTCAAGAACATCGGCGCCAAGTACTTCTACCCCCAATTTTGCACCGGTGGCATCAAGTACGTTACACGTTCGTCGTCGTCGTGTTGCGTGCTAAATGGATGATACATGGTATATAACACTCCTCATGTAACTCATGTTTACACGTATTTTTTCCCCCCACAAACATCAGCCACATCGCCATTCGGTCGCTTCAGATTTTGCTGTTGAAGGTGGCGCTTCTTCTCGGCGTCAAATTCCTGCCCGGCGTGGGCTACGTCAAGACGGACGACTCCCGGCACAGGGCCAAGCCGCAGTCGGGCCTGTGGCAGGTGGTCGTGGCCGCGCAGGGCAAGCCCGACTTTGTGGACTACCGCGACGACGACCTGGCCGCCAACATCATCGTCGGCGCCGACGGCGAGAACTCGCTCGTGGCCAAGGACTTTGAATTTGAACGAAAAGTCCTGCAGGTGCGCCCCACACACACCCCAAGCAATCGCGTTGCCCAATCACCCACACCGTACTGTGTGTGTGTGTGGTGTGTGTGTGTGTGTGTGTGTGTGTGTGTGTTGTGGCGTTAAATAGGGGAGCAGGGCGATTGGCATCACGGCCAACTTTGTGAATACGCACACGTCGGCGGAGAACCAGATCAAGGAGTTTGGTATTCTGCGAGTCTACAACCAGCAGTTCTTCAACGATCTCAACACTAAGTACGGCATCGACCTCGAGAACCTGGTCTACTACCGAGGCGAGACGCACTACTTCGTGATGACCGCCATGATCAAGAGGTACGACACCCTTTCGTCTTCATCGCACCAACACATGCAACCGCACGACACACACACCGCCGTACGAGGTTGACTTATTAGTGTGATCCCATCGCAGCCTGCTCGACAAGAAGGTGCTGAGGGAGATGCAGACCGACGCCTCGTTGCTGCTCTCGCGAGACAACCTCGACGTCCAGAAGTTGCGAAGCTTTGTCACCGAAGTCGCCGATCACACCGGTACCACACACGACACACACGCATGCACGCACAACTGGACGGAGCGCTGATCAATCTCTTTTCGGTGCGGCACAGGTCTGCCGAGCACGTGTCCGTTTGCGCCCAACCACGCGGGAGCCGAGGACGTGGCCATCTTCGACTTCTCCAAGAAGCAGCAGTCCATCACCCCCTTCAAGATCGTCGGCGACCAGGTGCGTCCCTCTCTGCCCTTCCGCTTCTCAATTTATCTATTTCTCTCAATATCCATCTAAATCGCGATCATTCAATATAGTGGTTTATTCCACCATATTTGTTTATATACACATATAGAAAATATGTCTAACAATACAAATGTGGGCCACAGGAGGGGAACAAGCTGCTCGTGGCGCTGGTGGGCGATGCCCTGATCGAGCCCTTCTGGCCCCTGGGCACCGGTGCCAACCGGGCCATCCTCTCGGCCCTGGACACCACGTGGATGGTCAAAGGTACCACTACCACGACCACTACAACCACTACCTCTCCCAGCAGCTCCCTTATTCTAATCGCGCGTTTGTTGTGTCGCGTGCAGGCATGTACGGGAATGGAGCGAAGCAGGTGAGCTGCGCGCAGCTGAAGCAGCTGGAGACGCAGTGGCAGGACTCGTTCAAGATCATGATGAACAGCAGCCCCGACGACCTGGTCTCCAACTTTGGCCTCCACACCATCGACCCCAAGACGCGCTACAAGAAGAACTCCATGTCTCGCTTCCACTGATGAGTGCCCCCCCCCACAGGCATACATGTTGTACACACCAAGTTCGACACAAGGAGCAAACAGTGAGCCCACCATTCTTCAACACTTGGCCTAAGGTCCCAGACATTTTGTTACTCAGGCGGAGACCACGTGTTTTAATATTGCAGCTCCGCCATTGGCAGTTAGCTCATGAGCTTCAAGGAAACAAATAACTCTCGGCCGCGTTCTGTTCTGGCAAGGCAGCGGCCGGTAATGGGAGCTGCCATGGCAGAGAGCTCACACTCCTGCCAGCGGTCTGCTGGGCGTCCTGCCTAGAGCTCCTGGCAAACTAGAGGCAAACCAGCCGAAGCTGGTGTCACCTAGGTTCATGGGCCTTTTAAAAAGATGTGTTTTCCCTCTCGCTGTCCATCACCTCTACCACAACAACTCAACACACTACCAAACACTCACGCACCACTCGCTTAGCTTATCCTAGTGAATATGGGAGGTATCTTCAGCCGTCACCACCACCACCATCACCACCACGCAGCCCCTCGACGTGGCTACGGTACGTGAGATCCTCTTGAGCTTCCCACCTCCACCTCCACCGCCGCTCTGTTTGTGGAGAAAACTTTTCTCGCTCATGAGCTGATTCGTGTTTTTCTGCTCTGGAGCAGGAGGGAGACGCTTCCGTGGTCCCAGCTTCCGTCCGGGCTATGGCCGACGCCGCCGTTGCTACTAAGTCCTCCTAACCCACGGATCCAATAAACACTCTTTTCTCGTAATTACGAATGGTGTGATTGTTTCTGCTTCGAAGAAGAAGAAGAAGAAGAAAATCGCACCCCCTTCAGGCGCCACGTGTGAGGACGAAGGAGTCGACGAGGGATCCGTCCGCGCTGTTGAGATAGCGCCACTCGAGGCGGTCGGCGGAGACGGCCAGCGTGGAGAAGCCCCACACCGTGTTGGTGCGGAAGGCGCTCCACTCGGGCACGAACTCCTCCTTCCACGGCGTCAACCCTTCCGTGCACTGCACCACCGCACACGCACACGCACCACCGCACACGCACACGAGTGAGTGGAAGCCGAGAGATTAGCCGAGTGAGGCGGAGGGGAGGGGGCGGGGGGCGTACGCCAGCGGCGCCGGTGATGAGGTAGGCCGTGGCGGCCGGCCGGGAGTAGTTGCGCTGGACCACCTGGTTGCGGAGGGTGGGCCACACGCGCTCGTAGCTGTGCTCGTGGCCCGTGATGTAGAGGTCCACCTCGTACTTGTGCAGCAGCTCCTCGAACGTCTGGCCACATATATGATCATCATGTCAGCCGGTTCACTCGACACACGCGCTTGTGTCGTGCGTGTCGTGTGTGTCGTGTGTGTCGTGTGAGTCGTGTGTTGCGCAGAACGCACCTTCTGGAGGTTGATGGCGTAGCCGCTGGGCGCGCCTTGCGTCTGGGCGTTGGAGGTGTAGATCGGGCGGTGGCCCACCACTGACCACGCCCGCAAAAGTGAGGCACACACGCACACGCACACACTTTTGGGTTGGAAGGGTGACGACGTGTACCGATGATCCAGGGACGCTCCGGGCTTCGTCGGGCGTGCGCTGCGCGCAAGTCAGCCTCGAACCACTTCACCTGATCACCGAACTGCGCCGAGTAAGGTCTGGCCGTTTTCCCAGTACCGTGTGTCGTGTGTGTCGTGTATGTGTGTCGTGACACGACGTGTCGTGACGTGTCACATGCGTTGCATTCCAAGGAGACGTGAGTGCGTCAGTGGACGAAACTGTTTGCAGAAGGGAATTCAGATGTGTGTACGCGTTGGGGTAGTCGGTTTCGGCGGAGAAGGAGACGAAGTGGGCGTAGGAGTAGTCCAGGCTGTACCACATGTTGGAATTGGACCCGTTCTCCTCGAGGCCCGGCATCCGGAACTTGAAGTTGTAGGCCGTGAAGTTCTTGGAGTACCACTCGCACCCCTGATGATCGCACGACGCCTCATGATTGCCTGCAGACAGAAATTAATATTAACATATAATATTGATGTATAGGTAGATAAAGTATAGATATATAGATTCATGGAAAGAGGAGTAAAAAAACATACCTGGGCACACCATGTAGGGGACGCGGCTGGTGATGGGCTGCATCACGCGGAACCATTCATTCCACACATACTCGTAGATGTTGGCCGGGTAGTCATCTGCATAACTGTGCGGTGGTGATTACTCCATTCCTCGCGTGTGCGTGCGGTGATGCGTGCGTGTGCACATGTGCGGTGTGTGTGTGTCGTGTGTGTGTCGTGTGTGTCGTGTGTGTCGTGTGTGTGTTGTGGTTACCTGATGTCGCCGATGTGGAAGATCCAGTCGATGGCGCGCGACTGGACGAGGCTCTGCACGCGAGCGACGGTGTCGCGGCTGTTGTGTACGCCCATGTCGCCGTAGATGGCCACCGTGAAGGGCACCGACTGCGCCGGGGCCGTCATGAACGAGAAGGCCTCGCTCAGGCCCGTCTCCTTGTCGCCCACCCGATAGTAGTACTCCGTCCGCGGCTTCAGTCCCGTAATCACCGCATGGTGCATATACCCTCCGCTGTGTCGTGTCGTTGGTCGTTGGTCGTGTCGTGTCGTGTCGGTGAGAATGGGCACGCGGTGAGGTGGAGGGGTGGCGAACGCGGGTAGATAGGACTTGGAGTAGCCCTGCACCACGCCCAGCGAGGGTCCGTTGGGGGTGGCCGACCACGTCGCAAGAGAGCTGTTCGTCGGCTCTGGCGGGTGCGCAGCGTCAGACATATCAGACGTGATGATGATGATGGTGACGACGACGATGATGATGAGGGGGGGGCGTGGTACCGTAGGTGAACCAGGAGACGGCGACGCGCGAGGGGCCGGTGGTGAAGGCCGAGTGCGGGAAGCGCGGGGCGGTGGGGTCGGTGATGCACATGTCCAGTCCACTGCACACGCGCCCCGCGTCGACCTCCTCCTCGAAGTTGAACAGCACCACGTCCCTGTACTCAGCCACGAACTTTTCGCACTGTCCGCACCGCACACGACACACACGACACACACGACACACGACACACGCACGCACAAAACCGTACACGGAGTGAGTGAGAAAGAACGAAGAGCGGTGGGGGAAAAGAATGAAAGAGAGGAAGAGGAGGAGGTACGGTGGCGAGAGAGGTCGGGTTGGTGGCGAACACGAGGCGGCAGACCAGGTTGAGGGTGCTGTTGACGACCTCCTGCGAGGGCTCGGAGTCGAGAAGGGCGTCGAGTGCGCCCACCACCTCCGAGCACACCTCGCACCACTCCGACAGTACCCGGCCGCCCTTTGCCGCCGCCGCCTCACTGTTGTCCGGGTAAAAATAAATATAAATATAAAAAAGAAATAATAAAAAATGGGAGGGGAATACGTTGCTGCGGGGTGTTGCACGAAGACCGTGCCGAGGAGAGCGCAGCACAAAAGCAAAACAAGAGTCTCGCGCATGGTGGGACACCGACGACTGGCCTTCTTTCTTTTGCGAACACTGAAAGGTCGGAGTTGGACAAGTTAAAAATCGGAATGAAAATGAAAGTTCGGCATCGTTCGGCAAAACCAAGAAGGCGTGGTCGGAAAAAACCCAACAACAGCATAGAGCCAAAAGGGGTGGCGAGAAAAAGGTGCCAAGAACTGGGATTTTAAGGAACCTGGCCGTTTATTCTGGCTGCGTCATGGTCATTAGTGAAATCAGCAACTGCAGTGGCAAGTTGAACTGTGAGAGGCCAACTGACCCCAAGAGCAGCAAGGAGGTGAGCTGCTCCAAGGCTTTGCACTGAGTGACAGACATGTATGACCTGCAGCATGTCCCCCTGTGTGGCACAAGGGCTCCCACAGTGAGCTGTTTTGGCCAGATGTTGTGCAAATGTGGGTGGTGTGCCATGTGAGGCAAGAGATTCTGGACTGTGATGGCAGTGACCAGGTGACAACAGCAGCCAAGGAGGTCTGATGCCTGCACCAATGTGCCAACTGAACAGGAATGGTGAGCACAGCAGTTGCCCTGACCCATGTTCAAGTCAGCAACATGCTGGAGAGGGATGACATGTGAGTCTGTGTGCTCTACCCCTGCAAGAACAAGGAGAAGGTTGATGAATTCAATGCTGAATTTGCAAGTGATCATTTGGGGCCACCACATCATTGGCCTCAATGGCCTGCACAAGGGAACAAAGCATGGCCTGCCTCTCTATGTTGGTTGCAAATGATGACAAGGGGCACACATGGCTGATGTCATGCAATCAGAGGTGTTGGTTTGATTCCTCAAAGTTGTGTGTGCACATCTTGGCAAGCTGTGTGGTCAATTGGCTGGGAATTCATCCTGTGCAACTTCCACGTTCAACAAGCATGGCGTTGGGCAACAGTGTGGTACTGCAAGAAAGGTGTTAATTAATAAATGCTCACATTCAAATGTAGATGTGGCCAAGGTCATGGCACAGTTGAAATGACTGCAGTGAGCACATACTACTTGAACAAGAAGAAATCTGTTGCCCCTGACTTGTTGATCCTCATGATTGTCCTTGGACTGTTTGTGCATTTCATGGAGAACCACAACAACCACAATGACCATGACAACCACGACCGAGAATTGAAGTCAAAGTCATACATTGGCCAGCTGATCTCAATGCAGACGACCTTGATGGCATGCACACTAGTGATCCGCTCCCCTGCCTTCCCGCCGTCGCATTGCTATACGCACCAATCACAAGACCCAAATTCGTACTGGGTGTGTGGCCTACCATGACGCCGGTTGCGGCGGGGTATTGGTCCTTCTAAAGAAGTCGATCACGCCATAACAATTGAAATTGTGTATTCAGCAGTTTGCCGTTTGAAAGCAGGCCAAACAGGAGGTGGGCCATCGTGATGGGGCACCATGCCTGTCTGGCTCCGACAGATGCTCCTTTCCTGTGTGAAGGTGTCAAGAGCTTTGTCTGCCACCTTGCCAGTACAACAAGTACTTGTACTCCCCCTCCCTAAGCATAAGCTTGGGGGCTACGCACTGCCTGGTGTTCAACTGGTTTCATTATTTCCTTATTTTGTTGATCATTGACAACCGCGAGTTGGTGTGCTCCATCTGTCAGGACCCGTTGGTGGACCCCGTGGTCGAGCCCCAATGCCGCCAGATGTTCTGTCGTGCGTGCCTCGCCACCTGGCTACAAGGCCCCCTCGTCTGTGCACCGGTTGTGCCCTCAATGCCGCTCGACGACCTGCGCGTTGTGTGCCCCTCGTGCGGTGGTTCATGCGCGCGCAAGTCATTGCACGAACACGTAGCCTCCTGCCCCATTCGTACACCCTCTTCGCTCTTCTTCGTTCTTCTTCGTTCTTCGCTTTTCGTTCTTTTTCGTTCATTGGCTAATGGCATTGTTGGGGTGCAGCGTGTGGTTTCGGTTGCAGTCGAGTGGCGCCGGTCAACCAAGAGAACCACCAGACTGTCGAGTGCGCCGCCAAGGTGATGGCGTGCCGCGCTTCGTTTGCGAGATTGCGTGCACGCGTCGCGCCATGCAGGAACACGAGGACAAGTGCGTTGTGGAGGTCCTCCGCACCATCATCGAGCGCCGCAACACCCCGGCACGCGATGCCACAGCTCCCGCGCTCAATCAAGGAGCATCGGACCATGCCGAAGCAGCAGCAGGCCGAAATCGACGCGCTCAAGAAGCAGGGGGAGGAGCGGCAAAAGAGGGAGCGATCAGCCGACGATCGCAGACTGTACGTGAACTTCCTTACCTTCCACAGGTTGACTCTGACTTGGCTGTGGAGCCGAAGCAACGCTAAGAATGCCAACAATACTCTTTCGTCCAAGAAACAGTCCGACCGGCTCCGCCGAAGCCGAAACCGAAACCGAAGCCGACGCCGAAGCCCGGCGCTCCTGGAGTGGTAGCCGTAGGGGAGGTCCCACCAGCAGTCGTGGCGCTGCCGAAGCTGAATGCCGAAGTGGTCGCCGCCGGTCCACGGCCCCAGTCGCGTCGTCTTTTTCGGTCCCTGCCGCAGGTACCACGATCGCCTGCTTCGGTAAGAGTCACTTGCGACTGTGTGGGGGAAACGCTCACCTTGCTGCGCTTGTGTGTGCCGTTTCATATATGTGTGTGTTTGTGTGTCGTACACAAACAACGGCCGCCTGTTGGGCGGAGGGGATGGCCTGGCCAACTTTGTCAACATCACACGCATCCGCGTGCGCAGCCTTTGAGATTGAGACTGGCGAACACATAAAATAGGTCTTTTCTTTTTGCAGCTTTAGTTACCACACCTGGATCTGATGGTTGTCGGTGTCAGCCACGACGATGTTGCCGGAACTTGGGTCCACCGCCACGCCGCTGGGGAGGTGGAACTCAATCGGACCAGAACCTTGGGAGCAAAATTGCCCGACTTTGGGCTCACCTGGGCCGCCACCAACCCTCGTTCTCGTGTACACTGGCAAGATGTGGCTTGGAGCACGCGGAAAAAAGTGCTTTTGGCGTAATGGAAATTTCGGCACCCTAGAGGTGTTACACGTCAATGGCCAAAAAGGCAAGGTGAGGGGCACCTCCCCTGCTGTTGTCAGATCCTCCCGCCGACTTGCCTTTCAAGTGCTGCGAAGATGTCAAGAGCTGTGCCTTTGTCCACTACCTCGCCAGCACTACGAGTACATGTACAGTCCTCACTCTTTATGCCTTTTGCTAATTGATTATTTATTGTTCTGCAGGGATTTGTGTACGAAAATGAGGAGCACAACCGCGAGTTGGTGTGCTCCATCTGCCAGGACCCGTTGGTGGACCCCGTGGTCGAGCCCCAATGCCGCCAGATGTTTTGCCGTGGGTGCCTCGCCACCTGGCTCCAACGCTCCTCCTCGTCTGCTGAGCACCGGTTGTGCCCTCAATGCCGCCAGCCAACGGCCATGTCTTGCGTCACCGTACCGCCACGCTTTGTGACGAACATGCTCGACGACCTGCGCGTCGT